TCCTGAATATATTTTGAAACAGAAATATAATTATTTGTAAACGTATTTTGAAAATAGGAACATTTTTTGAAATTTCTGAACTTTTTGAAACACGAACATTTTTTGAACTAGAACATTTTTGGAAATTCTGAAGAAATATTTGAAACATGAACGTTTTCTGAAAATTGTGAACAAATTTTGAAAACAAGAACATTTTTTGAAATTCTGAAGAAATATTTAAAGAAAAAAAGGGAAAATACTTAAAGAAAAAAAGAGAAACATGTTCAGGAACCTTCTAGAAGGTTCCCAAAAACAGAAAAAAAACCTGACCGAAAACCTCTAGAAGGTTTGCAAAACCAGGATCGCTAAAAGGATTTAAATGGGCTGGCCCAAGCGGATCGGTCGGTCGATTTTCCTATGCGAACCCCCGACAGTTCGACGCAATGAGCGTCCGCTAGGGAATTCCCTTTCTCGCTGAGTTGGGCCACAGCTGGTTTGTTGGATCAATTGGGCTACCAGTAGACGTCAAATTAGGCCTGGGCATTGCCTAACGGCTCGATCCCGAGAACCCGAAGGTCTAGTCTAAAACCCGAGAAAGCCTAAAATACTTTTTTCATTTTTATTTACTTTGCATATTAGTTTTAGTCAAAGTCAAACTTTATAAACTTTGCCAAAGTCTATAGAGAAAAATATTAACATATACAATAACAAACTTTGGTCGGCGTTGGAGCTCTGCTGATGGGGCGGCGGCGGCAGGTGGAGCTCCAGGTAGGCAATGGCGTCCGCCCAGCGGCCTCGCTCCGCGAGCCTGCACAATTGGCGCAGGCTCATGTGCACGGTGGTCTTCCGCGTCACCCTGCACGCACAAGTTAGGTTGACGTTAGGAACCAAGGAAGGAAGGATTTAGCTGCCTATTGAGAGGTCGGTCGTTTGATTACTCAGCGTAGGGTCGTGGAAGCTGATAAGTCTCAATCATATCTATATTTTTTTATTGTTTTATGCCAATATTCTATAACTTTTATATACTTTTGGCAACTTTTATACTATTTTTGGGACTAACATATTGATCTAGTGCCCAGTGTCAGTTCCTGTTTGTTGCATGTTTTTTTGTTTCGCAGAAAATCCATATCAAATGGAGTTCAAACGGGATAAAAAGTTATGGGGATTTTTTTGGAATATATGTGATTTTTGGGGAAAAAGAATCAACGCGAGATGATGCCCGAGGAGTCCACAAGGCAGGGGGCGCGCCCCGGGGGTAGGGCGCACCCAGGGCACTTGTGGTCACCCTGTAAGGCGGCTGGTGCCCTTCTTTCGTGTCAAGAAAGCTAATATCCGGATAAAAATCGTGTTAAAATTTCAGCCCAATCGGAGTTACGGATCTCCGGAAACTTAAGAAACGGTGAAAGGGCAGAATCTGGAGTGTAGAACAGAAGGAAATAGAGAGATCCAATCTCGGAGTGGCTCCCGCCCCTCCGCCGCTATGGAGGCCATGGACTAGAGGGGAAACCCTCCTCCCATCTAGGGGGGAGGCCAAGGAAGAATAAGGAGGGGGGCTCTCTCCCCCTCTCTCCCGGTGGCACCGGAACACCGCCGGGGCCATCATCGTGATGGCGATCTACACCAACAACTTCGCCGCCGTCATCACCAACTCTCTCCCCCTCTATGCAGCGGTGTAACACATCTTCTCCCCGCTGTAATCTCTACTTAAACATGATGATCAACGCTATATATTTTTTTCCAATGATGTATGACTATCGTATGATGTTTGAGTAGATCCGTTTTGTCCTATGGGTTGATTGATGATCGTGATTGGTTTGAGTTGCATATTTTATTATTGGTGTTGTCCTATGGTGCTCTTCGTGTCGCGCAAGCGTGAGGGATCCCCGCTGTAAGGTTTGCAATATGTTCATAATTTGCTTACGGTGGGTGGCGTGAGTGACAGAGCACAGACCCGAGTAAGTATGTTGTTTGCGTATGGGAATAAAGAGGACTTGATACTTTAATGCTATGATTGGGTTTTACCTTAATGATTTTTAGTAGTTACGGATGTTTGCTACAGTTCCAATCATAAGTGCATATGATCCCAGAAGAGAAAATATATTAGCTTATGCCTCTCCATCATATAAAATTGAATAACGATTACCGGTCTAGTTATCGATTGCCTAGGGACAAATAACTTTCTTGTGACAAAAAGCTCTCTACTAAAACTATCTTGATTGTTTCTTTATCTAAACAGCCCCTAGATTTTATTTACGTGCTCTTTATTATCTTGCAAACATATCCTACAACACCTACAAAGTACTTCTAGTTTCATACTTGTTCTAGGTAAAGCAAACGTTAAGCGTGCGTACAGTTGTGTCGATGGTCGATAGAACTTGAGGGATTATTTGTTTTACCTTTAGATCCTCGTTGGGTTCGACACTCTTATCTATCGAGAAAGGCTACAACTGATCCCCTACACTTGTGGGTTATCAGAAGTCTTGATCCAAGAGGAAGGCGAGGAGTCGCCGGTGCCGGAACCGCGCCACGCAGGGATGCTCTGCCGAGCAGGAGGGCTTCTCGGCAGCGGAGGAATCCATGAGGACGACGCTGGCAGCGCTGGCGATCTGGGGGTTGGGCTTGGGATGGGGACGATAGGGAAGAAATGATATGTATATATGGACAGCGACCGGATGGGGAAGTTGGACTAGTATAGACCCATTTTACTTCGTGCCAGGGATGTGAATTATCGAATTGGGTCAGTTCGGTTTGGATATTCGGGATTTCACAGCCCGCACACAGGCAGGAGGAGTGAGACGGAAAACACTATAGGACACTCAATGCGTCATAAATGTCGAGGCTTCGCACACGGATATGCAAGCGAGCGACAGAGTGGGCTGGCCCATTAGCTAGCATTTGTATTTTCTGTACAGTTTTTTTCTACCGGTTTTGGGAACCTCTAGAAGGTTCCTGAACTGGTGTTTTGTCTAGTTTGTTTTTCTATTGGGTTTTTCTGGTTTTCTCAGGTTTTCATGTATCGTTTCTTCTTCTTCTTTATTTTTCACTTTTCCAATTTCCTTTCAAATATTTCAGTTTTTTGATTTTTTTGCTGTTTAGAAAAACTTCCAAATTCGAAAATTTTGTTCATATTTAAAAAAATTCCGAATAATATTTTGTTCATGTTTTTAAGATTTGTTCAGACTTTTGAAATTTGTTCACAATTTTCAATTAGTGTTTGAAAAGTGAAACACGTTTTAAAAAATGGGTCATGTTTTTCAAATTTTATTCACTTTTTAATAGATTATTCGCCAATTTATTTTTTTTAATTTTTTTAAAATTGTCTGGAATTTCAAAAAAAAATTCATTTTTTTCAAAAATTGAAAAATGTTCGCTTTGTAAGAAAATGTTCCATGGTGGCGATAAAGAGGTCCGTGTTACACTTCTAATATAAATTATGATTTGGGGCGACGGAGAGGTCGGAGTTCCATGGTGGCACCTCCAAGGAGGAGAATGATATCCGAAGACGCCGCCGCGGATTCGTGGTGTGCTGGTGAGCCACGGATCGAGGACGGCGTCGTGGAGGCGTCGCTCTGGGTTGCCCCGACGTGGGCAGACCTGACGCCGGGTTGCGGGCAGCGGCTCGACAACGTGAGGTGTCGTCCTGGCTGTTATGGTTGCACGGTGAGCTTTCGTTTTTTTAGTTTGTGAGCTTCAGCTGATGGGATTGGCTCGGCTTGTACGCAGGGATTTGGATGCGGACGCGTCGGGTGTTCGTTGGCTTGTTCCGGATGAAAACCTAGTGCTGACCTCGGTGGCGGCGACTCTTTTTGTTTATCGGCGGTCTCTTTGGTTTATGTTTGTTAAAAAACCAGAGTATCTTCTACACGTTGCTTCTTTGGTGCTGATCCGTTGGTTTGTTGCTGGCTTCATGTTTCTCTACATTGTTTCCATTGTTAGGGCATGTATAATGCATAGCCCCAGGGTGATGCCTCGCATGCCATGTAGGATCGGATATAGGTAAAGCAGGTTCGGATAGGGAAGCGGGATCCTTTGCAGGAGGCGGGTGCTTGGAGAGAAAAGTCTTGCCCGGTGTCAAAAGTTGAAAAGATTGAAGTGAAAAGTAGAGATACATGTATACTAGAGTCTTTATTTTCTATTTCTTAACAAGGTCCACTAGTGATAGCTTACATTAGGGAGAAAAAATAAATATACATGCCTCAAACTACTTTTTATTATGGAACATCTGTATCCATATGCCACCATTGTACATGCCCTTAGCCCCCTCCACTGATCGATCATCCTCACCATGAGAGGAATCAGAGTCAGTCAAACTTCTTGTGTTTTGTTCAACGATTTGTCAAGGATTTTCTTGGACATGTCATCAAACCCTTTCCCGTCGTAGAACTGCAGATCCCACAAAGTAGTTTTGCATAATAGCAAACTATTCCTAGCCAAAAGCATATTGGCAACTAGCAAGGTACAACCATTTTTCCTTACACAAAGGAAAGCCACATTGCATAATCTATGAATAAATCTTTTGCAAAAAAGATAAAGAAAAAGTACACTAGGAACCGCACATAACCTAGTACAACAAGGTTTCACACACAAGGTATTGCAAGCCATAATTCAGCGAGCCAATATGGCTTAGATGGAAAGCCTGATCGGGTCCTATCCAGAGTCAAGAAGAAACATGTATCCATCTGGTATTTTTGCCAACACGCCTTAACATTTCAATGCGGTAAAATTTCTTTGAAACTCATCTTGAATCAAAACATGTCATCAACAGACAGAAATATTCTGAAGCGCAACAACAAGAAGGGAGACAAAAGGCACGCGAGTCATGACACAACCAGTGCAAAATCTGCAGTTTACGAACAGAGTCCCGGTCTACCATAATCTCTAGTTTTACACGCGAGGATTCAACAGTACTGCATGATAAACTGCATCCAGAAACACACAATCACTGTCAGGCGGGCATCCGGTAACAAGCAATCTGGCGTCGATAAGGAACCATGCAAGTCTCCTTGCCCTGTCATTCTGCTCTACTGGCCCGCAGGGCCAACAAGAACACCCTGGGCAGAGGCTTCCTTCATGCTGCCTTCTTCATTGGCGCTGTTGTCGCCCTTCCTGATCCTGATCTTGTACTTGAGCTCAAACTCGGTGATCTCTTGCTTCTTCCTCTCCAGAGCCTCCTTCATGCGGGCGACGACCTCTTCAAGGCCCTCCTTGTTGCGGTGCACGGCGGGCAAGACTTCCCTGATGGTCCTCTCAACCAAGACCCCGCCAATCATCCTGTAGCAACGCCTTGTGGGGTCCAGGGGCTCTATTGCGCCAATCACAAGGGCGTGCTCACTGACTTCCATTTCCAGCTCCGTGATCTTGGTGTAGAGTTGGTTCATTTCAGTGCGCATGTTGGCATAAGTATTTGCGACTACTTGCTCATTTATGGGTTCTCTGCCATCGCCACCTGCTCTGCTTGCCATTTTCCTTGTGATGCGCTAACAGCAAAGAAAGAAACCTGCAGAGAGAAAATGAACATTCTTTTTAGAATCAAAACTAGGTGAAAGTGCATTGCAGCGTCAAACTAACCGAGTGAGAGTGCCTCAAGAGATAATTTTTCAGGAGCCAAAGAAAATAAATAATAGTCCCAAGTCCTAACACACAGTTGGCAATAATCACCATGACTTAACACTCAGAAGACAAATATACTGCTGTAGTAAGAAAATTACCAAGGGCATCACAGGCAAACATATTGCTGAAGCATACCAACTCCGAGCAATCTTGAAAAGTGTACTGAAGCAAACAACCAATGCAGTGTTTCCAGAAATACCACGAGAGAAAGCTGATGTTTGCACAGGAAATATATAAAGAATCCATCCAGTCATAAACTTTCTACACATTCCATACACAATGCTGCCCTGAATAAGTTTGATAGTTTGCTATCAATCTGATTCAACTAAAAGGCAAAACCTAGCTATTTTGGGCTATTTCATCCATTGGAACTATAATTACTTCTGCTGTTCTGCGGTTCTGTTTGGCACAATAAATTATGAGAAAACCTGTTACTGCAGCATAGCAACCCTACCCAGCAACCAGACACCTTGAGCTTCGAAACCCGATCCAGATTTGCGCCCCAATTCGTCTATTTGGGAACATCGGAACGAAATCCTTCTCCCCAAGCGCTAGGATCATATGCCTGACAACAGGGGAGAAGACCTAGCGGCCCGCCCGTCGCGCAACAGCAGCTCTTCCTGCTCGCTGCGGATGCACGCGCGCATCTGAGAGGACTAAGGGGAGAGAGGCCTAAGAGAGGGGAGACGCCGATCCAGGCCCGGCCGCCACCTCTCGCCGTTCCGGGCCAGGGCACGGACCCCTCCTCGTCTCCCCGGAACCGAGCTGCTTGCCGTCAGAGGGGAAGGAAGCAGCGGGCGCGGTACCTTCCGGCCGCGGTCAGAGAGAGGGGGGATATGGACGAGAGAGTACGGGCAACAGCAAGGCGCTCGCCGTCCACGAGCAGCCGTCCGGCCCCGATTCGAGAGAAAGAAAGGAAAGAGGACGAAGAGAGAGAGGAATCACCTTCGCGCGCGCCGCCGCCGATGGGAGATCTCTCAGCCGCCGCCGCCGCCTCCTTTCTGTTCGTGAGTGAGAGAACCCTATTGTTTTCCTCGGCTCAGTGTGTTCTTGTTTTCCTATGTGTTTGGTAACCTTTTTTCTTAGGGGTTCCTATTTTTTTGGTACCTGATCACCGGCCTTTTTCTATTTCGACAATCTATCCAGTGCAGGAATAGAGCTAGGTGTCAGATCTATCAGTTCTTCACGGATTATAATTTAGTTGGTGTGTCAGTAAAGAAAAGCAGATGGCTGATTTTTGATGTGGTGACTTGAACATCTTCTTTTGTTTTGTTCCATAATATTGATTTAGTTTCATCAATCCTTTGGATTGAGGCAATTCTCAACCGATTTTCCTTCAACAGTTATCAAATCTTGTTTTTATTGGTGAGTATCAGTTGTGGTCTTCAGGAGAAGTGCAGCCTTCCACGCAGCGGCAGCTGCATGCAGGGCATCGACGGACCGCGTGGCGTCGCGATTCGAAGCCCCGCCCGCGCTAGTTAGAGTATAGCTAACCTGCTCGAGAGCGAGTTCTCCGTATACTCCCTCCTTTCCGGTTTATAGGGCCCAATTCAAAAATCTCACCAACCAAGGTAGATGGTAAGTGGTGGAATATTTTTTGTAGTTTGCAAAAGCACGCAATTAATGTTCTTGTTTTCCTTAAAATATTATGTTTACCAATGCATTAATTGCAATGCATGCATGCATAAAGTACATGCATTGGTCAATTTTCTCTTAATAATTGCATGCAATGATTTAATGCACTTTGGAATCTGAACATGTGATGGGGAACAACCAAATTAAGCCTTATAAAATGGAAAAACTAAAATTTTGAGATAAACCCTATAAACCGGAAATGAGGGAGTATTTGCATATTCGATGGCAAGGCTAACACACGACTGACACGAGCCGTACTAGCCCAGGCGAGAGGACCAAAAACGACCGTTGCAAGAACACTGTATAACGTTAATACTTTTGCGCCATGCCTGTATTTAACAGCATGCAGCTAGACCGATTGTTGGCAACCTCATTTCCCCAGGACGCAGAAACGCCTCGTCGCACCCATCCATTGCCGTTGTGCCGAGATGTCCCATAGCTCCTCGTCGGTGCGTCGTCTCCGGGCAACCCCCGCTGCCATTGATCTTGTGTCCAAGGTGCCCCGGAACCAGGACGATGTGGTTTGTGTCCAGAACAGGCCTTCTTCATCACTGGTGTTGGCATCAACCTTCTCATCGAGGCAGCTGGAGGTGGGAGCAACGTCATGCTCGGGATGGGCCGCGCCATGGATGACGCATAGCAGCTAGGAACACGATGATGATATGCCTGTTCATGCTCTTTGTGATGCTTGCCAAGGCAGCCGGCGGGCAGTGATGAAGCAGAGCAGATGCCCTGGATGAAGAAGGCGCTCAAGAGTCAGCTGCAGAGTAAAAACTAGTCTTGGAAAAAATTGTACCGGCAGAGGGCAGACTTGCTTGTACCGTGTTGTGGAAGAGAACTAATGTAATCATGCTCCGTAATGTAACCTTCAATTAGCGCGTGGATCCCACACGCTGTCATTCACCACCTGCCGATGAGGCTACCCAAAATTAATTGCTGCACCCACACCTCGCCTTCCCCTCCCCTGCGGTCGCTACTGTAGAGGGGTCGCCTCCATTGCAGCGATGATTTCTTCGATCTCCCCAGGCGACGGAGCACGCCGGGATCGCCGAGCAGCGAGGTATTATTCCACCCACTTCTATGCTTGGTTGCTCGTGCGCCAGTCTCTAACAAGCCTAACCCCCAGTACATGCTCCCCATTAGGTCTTGCGGTTTGGCTGATGGAAGAAGGGGAACATCAACCCGGACGGCTGATGCAAACTCCGGCCTCCATGGATAGAGAGGTAGAGCAGATGGGAGACGAAGGAGAAGCAGCAGTTCATACTGGATCAGTTCAGACGGCGTCATCAACCAGGTCCACATCACACACTTCCAGAATTGCTATTCAGAAAGTTATAGATGTGGTTGGTGCATTATCGGATTACAAACGATTCTTGGTCGAGGAGATTGGTTTTGATGGTGTGCTGCGCATCCCCATGATTCAAAAAATCAACCTGAAGTTCAGCAAGTTCCTCATGAGCAAGGTCGTCGTGAAAGATCACTGTATTATCTTGAGGGACGGTGGAACGCCGATTACATTCTACCCGGAGGATTTCCACAAAGTTTTCAGCATCCCATGTGGAGAGCAAGACATACACGGAAAGGATGCTGAGATCACACCTGAAGCAATCGAGTTCATCAGGAACTCTATAGGTTGGGCTGACAAATCTGACCGCAGTTTAAGCTCGGTCGAAGCGTTCATCGGGAAGGAAATAACTGAACTATCAAGCCGATGAGAGAAGGACTGCTTCAAGATGGCGTTCGTGGTCTTTGTGATGGGTAATCTGTTTGCCCCGTGCACCAAGCACGACCACTCGATCATCGACTACTGGGGTGCCATCAGTGATACCGACAACATCGCACTATTCAATTGGTGCAAGTATTCATTTGAAGGTTTATTGGAAGCAATTGCTAAACTGAAGTTGGAAACAGATGCAAACATATCTGTCAACAACTTGTCCGGGTGCCACCTTTTTCTGCAGGTAATTGCCTCAAAACAGCCAATAGTCAATACCAAGGAAAACAGAATCACCATGTTCATTTTATGTTTATATACACTGCTAGTACACTGGAAGGGCATTGTTCTCTAACTTTTTTTCAAATTTGTCCCCTGAGCAACAGGTTTTTGTACTAGACAATGTAGATCTGGGCATTCTCAACTTGAAGCAGACCAAGATACCACGGATAGAGTTGTTCGACGGGGCGACCCTGAAACTGATGATCCTAATGTGCTCAGTAAGAAAGGACGGGAAAAACATTTACATATTACCTGAGGTAAAAAGAACACCATTCTATGCTTAAACACAACAAAAATATATGCCAAAGGTGCTTGAACACATCATGATCTAATCTTGAAGTGAGCTCTTGCAGGCAAGACACGGGACTGCCGTGTGCTACACCAGACACAACTATGTAAATGTGAAACACGCCAAGAGAGCAATAGAGGACAAGGCAGAAGGTTCAGCAAATATGTATGCAGTGGTGACACACAACCCAGATGTCGGAAAATAGGGGAACTACGTCAATCCTAAATCAGCCATAGGACAACTTGCGCACACCCCAAGCAGCCTCGACACATTCAGTGCAGGTGATTATGCTCGCTGGATCCAGATGCAAAACCCAGAGCTGGTGAGAAGCTTTTTTCCGAAATTCAAATGGTTCAGCAAATATGTATGCACTGGTCACCAGTGTCATGTTTTTAACGACGGACCCCTGGTGTGGAACATTCGCCCGCCGGAATGTTTTCTATATGACATATCGACTTTCTAATTTTGCAGGCCGCGTCTCCCTTAGGATGGGCAATAAAAGAGCACAACGCGAAGTGCGTGCACATCGCAAACGGAATGAAAAGGGACATTGCAAATGAGAACATCCGATTGGTGAAAAAACTGTTGCATCTTTATTCCAGCAAGCCAGATATTGAAACCCCCGCATCAAGTGTAGCAGATCATGCCCCTCCGCCCATCCCTAACGTCGCTGGCGAAGGTACATGGCCCACAACCCCGCCCGCGTTCATCACAAATTCATATATCATTGGGCCGCTCGACTCTGTGCTTCAAGCCTATATATGTGTTATGCAACACGACACGATGTGAGGGAAGCACCGTCTAGGCTCGGCAAGCAGATAGTGGGGAGAAGGCTCGAGTTGTCGACTCCACCCTCAACTATTATTCAGAATGCCAATGTAATGTGCACGTCCAACGTCGGCCAGTCGTCCACAACACCCGTAATGGGCCAT